AGTCGTCCATGTTAAACCGGCAATTTGATAATATACAAAAGGGGTAAAAACAGCTCTAGTCCTAAACGCTGGGGAAAGATTAACAGCTGTTTCTGTGGGCACTACAATTTCACAGCATATTTTGGAAAGCATATTTTTCTTTCTGTATAAAACAAATGATATGGGATAATTAACAATTGGTGATTGATCATTACATTGTTGGTAGTTGTGTATCGAATAAGACCTAAAACGTGTGCGTCTGAATAATCTTTGTAGTAATTTAATTTGAGGACTTTTCTATTTTCAGTTCTTTCAATTCATTTTCTATTTGAATATTTTCTAATTTTCCAATACAAATGTATTGTTGATTTTTTTTTAAGTGAAAACTTCTTTAGTCGCGGTTTTGTAGAATAGTTTTTCAGTAGAATGAACCAAATTTCAAATTTAGCTAGATAAAACAACATAAAGTATAATATTTTATTTGATCTATACATAACGTATTTAGTAGCTGAATAAAAAAAGAATTTTTAATGCCCGATAAAAAATTGGATTTTATAATAAGATATGTCACGTCATCTACCACATTGTCATTTATTTTTTTATTTATGCCTTTTAACTCTAACATTAATTCCCCATCCTCACCCCTTGGCTCGCGAAAACCCCCGAATAACCTAAAAGGCGAGGTAGGGAGATAAAAAAAAAGATTAATTTTTTATTATAATTTGGAAAGCTGTTCACAAATATGCAATTCCACAAGAACAAACAACGCTGTTTAAATTAGATGATTGAAATGTTTAGCCACCGTACTATAGTACTGAAAATAGTCCCAGTTTGACTTAACTGCAAGACCTGCAAGACTCTTGCAACAGTCTGCAACAGTCTGGTCTTGGTCTTGGTCTTGGTCTTGCAACACTTTTTGTGGTCTTGGCCTTGGTCTTAGTCTTGAAAAAGTACAAAACCAAGACCAAAACTGCAAGAACGAGACCGATTTTGGGCAACACTAATCTTCATAATAAGCTATTATTTATGATTTATATTTCATATTATTATTCTCGCTTTGTTTTCCCTTCTATCATATGTTCTAAAGCACACACCTTAGTTTATACACTGACAGTCAAAAAATTCCACCCACTTGATTTTTTCATCTTTTCATCTAAAAGTATTTCTGCTTTGGATTGATCTATTGTTTTTAATGAATAGATAGATAATCTTTTTGTTTGTTTTCAATTAGGAATGTTAATATAGAGGACAATAACCCTTAATCCTTAATTCAATGAAATGATTCTAGATTCCAATGTTTACTTTCTATGGAATCAAAATGTTTATTCAGTATCATTAGTTCAGTGCCGTTTCTTGCAGCACATTTCTTAGTCTCCGGCTTTTAATTTTTTCAATATTAAGTTTAAAAATGCCTCTTAGTGCTGAGGATGTTGCGCGTGGTGTGGCACTTATTGATGATGGACGTTCCATTAGATATACAGCTAATGCCATCGGAGTTCCATATGAAACTTTACTGGATGGGGCGCCGCACAGAATTGGTTGTTGTTCGTGCAGGATCTTTGACGGCCATTCGCTATGTAGATGAGATTTTGGAACCTCGTGTGTTGCCTATCCTCAACGAAATCGGCGATCGTTCTATTTAATAAACGATAATGCACGCCCACATGTCGCCCGCAGAGTGCAGACGTTCCTTCAACAAAACAATATTGAGGTTTTAGCCTGGCCAGCACGTTCTCCAGATTTGAACCCCATTGAGCATTTATGGGATAACCTTGGAAGACGAATGAGAGCGCGTGCAACACTTCCTGATACACTGCAGGACCTTGAAAGGGCTCTTCGGGAGGAATGGGCTATCCTCCAGCAAAGGGACATTTCTCGACTGGTGGAAAGTATGCCGAGGCGTCTTCAAGAAGTAGTGAATGAAAAAGGAGGAAACAAGCGCTACTAAACGATGATGTAATTAATTTCTTTTAGAATAATAATGGTTCGTTTTTCAATTTTTTTCTCTAATCTTTCTTACCCAATTACATTTTGATTATTAAAGGTAAAAAAGATTATAAAATTCCATAAATACTAAGCATTATCTACAAATACCATGTATTATATACAAATACAACTTTACAGAAATATTTTTAGATGAAAACATGGAAAACCAAGTGGGTGGAATTTTTTGCCTGTCAGTGTATATATTTTTTTATTATTAGTATAGTTAATAAAATAAAAAATAAAATTATAACTATCAACTTTTTTAATAATTGCAATTCTTGGTTGTAACTTAATATATTTTTTTAGTGGTATTTTTCCTTCCACTCCTAGTACAGGAAGATAAATAACCTGGGTTTGCATCAAATGTACTGGGAACCGGCTATGGTACAATTTATAAGGCTCTTGAGACAACGATGTTCTAGGCATGTAGCAAGGATAGTTGGTGGCACTAAAATTAGAAAATTACATTTCGGGAACGTAGATTGAAGAAGAGAGGACGACCACAAATGAGACAGGCAGATGAAATCGAAGCCGATGTAGAGAAGCTGCTGTACACTAGATCTTGGCAGACCTGGCGTAAGACTTGAATAGAAGCAACATCTTGATTCGGGAAAGACGTTGTGAAGATGATGACAATGATATTACTGTAGCTATAATAATAATAATCATTGCTGAAGTCCAGCAGTAAATCTGAAAATTGACATTGTATATCGTTAAAATATAAGTAAACGAAATAAGTTGTTAGTATTATTCCAACCATTGTGACCTGAACCCAAGGTTTTTGAGAAGGCCAACTCAAACCAAATTCCTAAGCACAAAATCTCGTTCAATTGATATGTAGTTTTTTTTTTTTAATATCAACCTTGAGAACCGCCAAGCATTGTAGAAAGCAAATATTATTCTTTTTCCCTACACGGAACTCATGAATTATTTCTCGTTGGTCATGACGACTTGACAAAGGCGCGCTGATTCAGGTACCCTACGCTTGGTCACCAGTCACCCTGGCATCCTTTCCGTTAAGGATAAGCCGCAAGAGCACCTCCAGGGAAGGCTACAGCTCTCAAATTTTTCTGAAAAATAATGCAACGGAACTGGAAAGTGTACCTGCGGCCTCGAGGTCGCATCGAAATGCCTATCTGCAGCATCCAAACGTTTTAGCGTGTTATTCAATAATCTATCGCTATAATTAATTATTAAGGTTAGGAAAATTTGAAAAATTAAATTAAGTTAAATGCGTCTATATGGACTTGTGTTTACTCATAACGAAAAATAGATACGGTAATATATAAATATATAGTGGCCTTTATTATCACTACCTAATCTTACCGCGGTCTCTAATGAAAAAAAAGGTTCCCCACCTATGGATTAAGGTTAAGTGAAGGCGAAAATTAATACTTATTCTTTGAAAGATTTTTGGCAAGGGCTCATACAAAAAATACTCTTTCTTTAGATATCCAACATTAAAACGGGGTTTGTCCTAGTCCGGGGGAGAGGGCCGGATAAATACTGAGTTAAAATTTCCACCGGCTACCGGGATTTGAAACCGTAATCTTTGGTTGTCAGGTTGCGGGATAATGTGCTGTTTTTTAGGCGATTACCGATTGATAACTATCGGTACGGTATTTATAAATATAATTTGTCGATATCACAATATGTTCAGGCCCTCACTTTTATTTGCAATTTTTATTGAACACACAATTATAAATAGTAAATTTCGATTAGTAAGTATTTTCGTTTGGTTTTAATGAAGTATAATTTAAATAAAAACATATATATGAATCGAGAGAACTTTATATAATTTATTTTGAATTTAAAAAAACAACCTATCGTATGGACTAGCGAATGGTACATTCATTATCACTAACAGCTGCACTAGCCTACCTATCAATGGAGATCGAACCTCTTTTTTTCTCTGAGCTTCGATAGTTAGTGAGCTTCTCCCTTTATCATATTTAGAGTCTAATTTTGTTAGTATTTACCTTTATTTATTATTTTTTTATCCTCCCCTTCCTTGCAGTTAAGGCTATACGGGGTTTTCCCGGGCCAGGGGGTGTGGGTAGGGATTTAAAAGACTCCCTCAGCACCGGGACGCGAACTTGTGGCTATTTTTATATCATTTATCAAATATCAGGTTGCCGGGCAACGGCGGTGCTTTGCACAAGCCTTAGCCTATTCGGCTACCCCGCCCACAGGTATTTATCTAAGCCAGGGGTTACCTGAATTCGTCTGTGTCTTTACGTTCTTTAGCTGCCAGTTGGATTAAGAAGAGATTCCCCTCCTGCATTCGAACTGGCTAAATCAGGCCTGATTATTTTCTATTTATTATAGAATCAAACCTTTTATAGAAGAACAATAACAATAGAATAATAGTGTTCTATAGATAGCGCGAGATATCTGGCTCGAGCCAAATCAATGATAATAGAATAAAAAAAAGATTGGTTGAAATCAGACCATTTAATGCAGATATGGTGTTCTAAATATTTACTGCATGCTCTATTCCAAAGCTCGTACCCTTTCTTTTAGTTTTTGATTTTTAGAAAGTAAGTGACTAGGAATGTAGTTATTACATTTGATATATTTTATTAACTATATGGAAATAGTAAATCATTTTGTAATCATTTTCAGCGTTTTATATCTCCAAACCAAATCCCAATCCACCTTTAAAAATTTGTCCATGAAGTTTAATTTATTTCCAAATGGGACCCTATTCAACTAACAATTTTTAAAAATACTACTGGAATAACCAATTATTTTCGGATGTTATAATTATGTTAAAAAACAAATAATTTCTTTATTAATTATTATAAAAATATTGTTTTTGATAAAATAATTAGAATATAATATATATTTTTTTGCGGTTTTAGAAAAATTGTTAAAAATGACTTCACTTTTTTATAACGATTAACCGAATTAAAAAACATACACAACGACACAATTGTAAGTGCTGTCAGTACAACTCTTCAGTCCTGTGTCATGCTGTTTGTAACTGATTGGTTTTAATTATTAGACCTCATCCACAAACATCTTCAAACTCAATGAATCTTTTAGCCTACTGCTATTTAGAACGTGTCATCCGAAAGCTCAGTCTTTTGCCTCTCCCTCTCCCGTCATCCAACAACGAGAAGCCCGCCCTTGATCGGACCTTGACTGGCCACAGCAGATGTCCCAGATCCGAATTGTGACAATGAAGGGTATTCGAATTCACGAAGCAGCACGAGGTGCCGAGATCGCTTACGAATTGCCTGTATAGCGAAGCTGCACCGGCTCAGTGTCGCAAGTTCCACACCTGCCTTTACGTAAGGCCATCCGTCTCAGCAGTAAACCGGGCTGAAGAAGAGTGTTTCGTCATTCCATCCGTAAATAAAGGGGATCTATAGTTACGTTTTTTTTGTTGAAAATTATAAAAACAATATTATTCTTGATCTGAACCTCGACGGACATGGATTCAAAAACCATTAAAAAAAATCATATTTATATAATAACTTCTTAGTACCTGAAAGCAGGATCTCGTAGAGCTTATTCATAAAACTGGAATGCCGTTTGGTATTCAGGATGCGCTCGCTGTCTGAATTCAATCATAAAATTGTTTTTTTTATTCTGAATGAAACAAAGACACGTATTAAAGTCAACATAAAAGTACTATAAATTAATTTTAGAAATTAAATTAAATGGAACGATTAATGCAAAAAAAAGACACTGTAAATACTACTTGCCATACAATACAAACTATAACCACCTTAGATTAGACATTAAATACGATATAAATTGACAAGAAATTGTTATGAGAATACAATCCTTCTAAAGACGCAAAATTTAAAATAAAAAGATATTTTATTTTTAGGAATATTTTATTTATAAGAATACAGAAGGATATTTATTCTACATTCATTGGTTTTTCCCCTTATCCAGGAATACATTCCTGGAAGAACAAATAGATGATTTTTTATTGATGTTGAAATGCCAGTTGCTATGAAACATTTTGTGGATTAGACTGTCACCGCAGTAATACAAAAAAAAATTGTAATTAATCCAAAACATTATGGTTAAAACGAATGAATATTTACTTATTATTTTTACATTAATTATTCATACCCCATTTATAACATATGTCAACGAACAATTCTAAACAAAATTGAACAGTTTTAATGTCAATTGTTATAGTCCGTTGTACAAATATTTTTTTTTACGAAAATACTCGAAATTGAGGCGTTTTCAATCTGTATGAGGATAAACTTTGTCTATTTAATTAGATGCTTAAAACCCGTAAATACCCATTTGCTTTCGTAAGCTGAATCGTAAGATAATTTGATCACAAAATCGAAAAAAAAGGTGGCCTTAAAAAATATTGAGTCATTCGACCTACATCCCAAAATTGTCAAAATAACGAGGTTATATAGGACAAACGGCCCAATATTTTTGTACGTCACCTGTTTTATCGATTTTGTGATCAAATTATTTTACGATCCAAGTAGAAAGCAAATGGGTATTTACTAGTTTTTAGTACCTAAATAAATAGAAAAAGTTTTCTCCTCTCCAGATTGAAAACGCCCCAGTCCCAAGAGTTTTCGTAAACAAGATAGCTGTAGTTTACGATGAGATGAAACTATATACGAAGTTTCAGGCGGATGTTAATAATTCGATACAAAGGGGTCTGTATTACGGACTATTAATATTCGTTATAAAATCGAAAAAAGGTTATTTATGATTGATATCTGTTCGATAATTTCAATAATGCTTTCAGATAATAGAATCGAGACGAACCTGCAGCTGAGATCTATAACTATCAACCGCACTTTCGTTTGCTTTCACTTTAGGTAGCACTCAATATAAATAACCCTTCCACATTGATCTGGATTATAAGCAATCGAATTTTAAATTTCAATAATAATAATAAATTATCGAATTATTATCAACTGTACATATCGTCAGTATTATGCTACATAGTAGTACATTACTAGTATTGCCTATCTTAAGTAGAGAGAATTTGAAAATATATTCTTTTCTTGTGACAATTTACAATCTCTTGACATCAGAAAGTGCAGAAGACGATCCCATAACCGTATTAATACGGGCCTCGATGATCCGGACATAGGAGAGTGAAGGACTAGCTTATGTACGAAACAAAAAAACTGCAAATAATTATAAATCCATTTTATATATTTATAATAAAACATTTTATTTAATATAAAAACATAATATTGGATCATAAACTATTTTATTTCATTCTTTAATCATTGAAGTGAACTGTTATAATTATAGTTATCCCTATTGCCAATTTGTAACCATAATAAGGGAGAATTCTGGGAATAAAAAGTGTGGTATCTTCGTTACAATCCGTCTCGCTTGTGTCTTCGTTAAGGTCGTCCTGCTTTGTATAGTTTTCCTTTTCCACCTTCCTACCATTTTTTTTTTTTTTTTTTTTGCTTTACATACATATTACTTTTATCATTCATTGAGTGGAGTACCCTCAACTCCAAACATTTCAACAGGACTTGCAAATAGAAAGGAATTCAATCAATACAACGCACCTTCAAATACCACTGGTAGAAAAAGGTTAAGGTAAATCAGACTATCGTTCCACCGTTACTTATTGGTCCGAATATGATACTCATTCCATGTTTATCTGTTTCAGACGATCGAAAGAAAATAAAAGCGCCTTATGTAAAACAAACTATGCTAAAAACTTGTATACATTTATTATATTTTTTTTTGTATCACATTATATTTGTGTACTGTATATAGCTTTATAAAGATTTATGGGGGGTTAGAAATAATATATAAATAAATAAAAAAAAATTTATATGCTGACTTTTAGGCAATGCGTTTATTTCCATTAGTGGGCTGTTTAGCTTGACTATTCATTTCTACAAATAACGCTATTTACATTCATATAATGTGTAACATTCTTCATTCGCCTGTCAGTTTTAGTTGAATTCTACTTCTTCTCATTCCGGCAACCTTTCAGATTCTTCTTGTGATACAAGGTTAAGGTGGGTTGGGCTCACATCAACTTTCCACACAAATTCTTTTTAGAATGAATAGTTTCTGAAGTGAATAAGAGAAGAGAATCTGGGTTGTTTTTTCGATGATTTGTAGAGAATGTTTTTCTTAGTAACAGCCCTCGGCATTCCAAAGGCGGTGCACACAACAGTGCTATGCACAAGAGTTCCCGGAACACTGCAGTAGGAGAGCATAGGAGGTCGATGTGCATCGCTTGGCCATGAAGCTTTGCTCGAAAGCCTATGTTTATCAACATTCACATCATTATACCTTGGAAGTCACAGGTTAAGGCTTACATTTTCTTAAGTACCGTTTCATTAATCGTAGTGACCTTTGTATCTTCCTGATGTAAATTATGAACCCATTAATTATATTCATTGGACCGAACCTATCCACTTTTTTTTCATTCATCCTAACTATTTAATCATCGTACTTGCAGAATGGATTATAATGATCTCCCACTACGATCCTTGAACCAAACAGATTATAATATTGGACTATACGTATGATTGAACCCGGATTAAGTCCTCGTTTAAAGTCATTGTGGTTCACATAAACTTGATGCGGAGACAGAATTTCCAACTACGATTTTGATCATTTTTTTATATTTTAGTTTTTATTAAAGAAAAATATTAAAATCTACCACAATCTAGGGCATTTAGAATTACGGCTCTATGTTTACATTCATCCATTTTATATAAAATTTTACAAAATTATACAGCTTAAAATATTTGATAATTAGACTATCCAAACTAGAAAAGTCTAGAGGAAAATTCACGGTTGGATTTAAACTGAATAATCTGTCGAGGACTGTGTGATCTTTCCACAAAATATCTTTCATCTCACATCATAACAAATCAATGAGAAATAATATTTTTATATTATTATTAACAACATTTTAAAATTGTTTCCCAGTTCTCCAAACTTCAAAAATAAAGTTTTTCGTTTTCTAATTTTTTCTTCTTTATACTGACATTAAAAATTAGCAAAACTTGACCAACAAGCAATAATGATAAGTAGTAAATACATAACTAGATACAATACCTTTTATAATAAGTAATAAATAATACAACAATAACAAACTAATATTATTCATTTTTGTTGACCATCTGAATTGGGTTCTCGCCGAATTTCCACTTCTCGAATTTGGACAACCTCCCTCTATTGCGGAAAAATATTATTTTAGATTTTGCCAGGTTTATCTGCAGATTCCACATTCGGCAATAACTATCCAGGTTGCTTCATCATCCGTTGTAACTATACTGGGGATGGAACTAGCTATTTATTACTTCTATTTACTTCTTATTCATTGTAAAAACAATTCTAAGTTGTATTCATTATTGATTTGCAAAACCATTCTTCACTCGTTACAAAACACCTTAAGGACTGTCACGGACGGATGTTTGAACAAGGAAGTTATTGAAATACTGGGAACATTCTTCACCTTTCACATTTCTTCCTACATGACTTTAGAGGAGTGCTTTTCAGTTTTCTCTGTCCTCGAGAAATGTTCATATACCGCATTCATAGCAATTTACAAATGTCTTATGAGGAAAGTATTACAGACTGCGAAAGTGTTGACATACAAATGTCGTTAGTCTTTTCATATCGATACAGCTAAAGATTAATGATATTCGTATCAAATGATGCAATACACTAAACGCACTCATTACCCTTGGTTGGTAGAAAAGATTCCTAGTTAATGCTTTGTTTAGGGACAAATTTTTTTTCAAAAGTCACGCAAGCACATCCAAATTTCAGGGCCGTCCATTTAAATTCCTGTCTGATATCTGACCCATCGTTGACTTTCTGTTAAGGTCTCGGTTGGAACACAAGGACGACAAGATGTTAAGGTTAATATCCGCGTGTAACCGCTTTTCCGTATACTTTGTTCCTTCTTTTGTTTGATTCAATATTCTATTGGTAATTTTGATCTTTACATTTATTAATAATATACAATACTTTGTAAAATTAATCTGGAAAAAGTTAATTTATTTTATTCATTATCTTGTAATTTATCATTGACGATGCACTATATTATTTAATTTTATTTGAAGAAGCTCCTTTGATTAACGAGTTCATGATAATCTGGGTTACTCTGACCAGACCATTATGTATAATGATGGATACGTTTAATTTTATGTGGTCAGTTGTGATGTGCTTAATCAGTTATGTCACAAAAGAGTTATTACAGAAAATGGGTTAGTCAACGTCTTCCCTTACAAAGTAATGTCATCAAAGGCAAGATGCGTTAAGGCCATAAATAATCTTGGATGAGTCTCTTCTACCTTATCGAAAACGAGAGAACTAAATTGAACGACAATATTCCATTTCTCGAATTTTATAACTTTTCATATAAATGTAATATACTACAATA